TCTGCTCTTTTGGCAGTTTTTGCCACTATGTTGTGGAGGTGATATGCCGGTGTGGGGGTCTTATCGGTCGAACAGGGTCTTGGCGGCCAGGTGTCTTGTGAATGTTCCTGGTGCTCACCGACCTTGTGTGATCTTGGGTCGTGTGTTATGGCCATTGGTCTCTTCTTTGTCTTGATACCTGCGGTGCTTCCTCCTCCTTGGTAAGTACCCTTCCTTCTTGTCTGTTGGTACACAGCTTCAGGGAGCCACAAGGGGCATTCTTCAGAAAACCAGCATTGAATGTAATGAAACAACACTTTCTGGGCGAGTTCCAGTGTCTCCCTGATACTCTTCCTTCCCCAGGCCCTCAGGGTGGTTTCCATCATCATAAGAACAGGTGGTGGAGCAGCTGGCTGACCCAGTCTGCCTCCCTCCCTTCCCCAAAATGAGAGGGAAGATGGGGTAAACTAACTCATGCTAGTTTCACGATTTTGTTGTTGTTTACATTGTTGGAGAGTTCTTTTGACTGTTTTGAGGCCAAAAGATCTGTTTTTGTCTGGTTTTCTAACCAGGCAGTAATCTGTTTTGTTTCACAGCCTTCGTGTGCCTTTTCTTGGTAGTGGCTGACATGAAGAAATTTACATAAATATTTCATAGAGCCAATGCTCCCTGCGTTTCTTTGAAGGGTCAGGTTGTGGCTCGTGGTACCCTGTAGGCCAATAAGAAGTCTGCTACTGATGGCACCTAGTAGTTGGGCACTATATCAGTATAGTAGCCGTGGTCTCCAGTAGGCCAATAAGAAGTCTGCTACTGATGGCACCTAGTAGTTAGGCACTATATCAGTATAGTAGCCGTGGTCTCCAGTAGACCAATAAGAAGTCTGCTACTGATGGCACCTAGTAGTTAGGCACTATATCAGTATAGTAGCTTTAGGGAGTCATCAGGGCTCACCTAGAACTTGGCATCTCTTTATATTCAACACTGTTTTTTTCCTCATTATATATCAGATATAAACAAAAAATATGAATTACAGCTTTGTTTTGAGGTGCACTTTTTTTTGAGGTCACCTTTGCAGATGACAAAATTATGAACATTACTTCAGTAAAAGATATTGCAAAATTCTAAGCTGATACTAATATAGTCTTCAATTGGGCAACAGAAAATAACATGTTTAACAGATAGTTAACCACTGTGCTGCTCGCTTTCCAAATACGGCCCCCCCCCCCCTGTGTGCAGGAAATAATTTTTTTTTTTTTTTTTTTTTTTAGTGTTAAAATTCTTTCCTGATTACGGAAATGTGGACATAAACTCAAAATTGTACTTTGGCTGAGATGGGGTTTGTAACTTTGCGCGTGACATCATCAATCCCTGGTCGTCCGTTGTGTATGCTCCCGGGGCCAGTAGCGTGCCCAATTCAAGATGCGCGAGTTGCCACAAATATATTTTTGTGCACAGTTCTAAATACATTTTTGTTTTGTTTTTTCTTGCCAGTCCTATGTATAATGAACATGTACACTATATTATGGCAGTAGAACATCCGTACTGTCTGAAGACACTGTGTTACGTCCATCACACATATGTTCACATATCTTGCACATATTTCCAATGTATCATGCTAATTTATGTATATATGTACAATTTACACACTGTACAGTATCACACACTATATACACACACACATCATAAACACACTCAGTACTCCGCGAGTGTGTGATATGCTGCGAAACAGTCAACTGGGCATAGTGGAACCTTGCACTCAACGCACCAGGTACTGATGCATCTTCGCTTTTGTTCTCTTCGGGTAATGTTCTTGCATACTATACAGGCAAGTTTACCCTTTCCCCGTGATGCTGTGCCTGGCATATACTTGAGCATGTGGACAATGAACATCTCGTTACCCCTCAGTCTGTCTGGAGCTGTGTGTGGTGTTGTTGCTTGCACCTCATGCGGTGCAACAGAGTACCTCGCGGGGTGTAACAAAGCACCGCGCAGGGTGCACACGCCTTGCCATACTTTACGAGCAGTTGTGACACAACAGCAACACTGAATGTCCATATTGGCGGTCTTCTGCCTGCCTCCTGCGGCTCCTTTAAGGGAGCCGGTCAGCCGAGAGGACAGCACGCTGGACTTGTAATCCTGTGGTCCTGGGTTCAATCCCAGGCGCCGGCGAGAAACAATGGGCAGAGTTTCTTTCACCCTATGCCCCTGTTACCTAGCAGTAAAATAGGTACCTGGGTGTTAGTCAGCTGTCACGGGCTGCTTCCTGGGGGTGGAGGCCTGGTCGAGGACCAGGCCGTGGGGACACTAAAGCCCCGAAATGATCTCAAGATAACCTCAAGATAAGATAACCCCCCGTATATGGGGAAGCGTGTTTGAAAGTGGACTTTGCCACTGTCCAACATGGCACCGGTGTGAATTGTAGTCAACATATTCACCTCGCGTCTGTCCCTCCTTCGCACTGAGAGCATATTGTCACATTTGTGCAGCTGGCAATCACCCACTGCTATACCTATGCCAAACACTGGCATTTCCTTTCTGTGAGCCTTCACTGTGGCACATATGCGGTGTTGTGGGCAAGTAGGTATCTGGTCAACAAGGGGCTGGTACAGTAGTTGTCGGTGAACAGTATATGCCCCTTATTCAGCAACGGTTCCATCAGGGTTTTGACGACACTGCCGGAGAACCCATGTTCATTTTGCATGTTCATTTTGAGCTGGTATGTCGACGTCTGTACCTGGATACAGTATCATGTCCATGACGATACCAGTCTCACAGTCGCACAGCATGATAAACCTAGTCCAAATCGGTGGCGCTTTGATGGGATGTACTGTTTGATGCCAGTCGCCCCTTGAACAGTACAAGAGATTCGTCGATCACCACATTCTGTACAGGTAAAAAATAATCACGGAACTTGCGTTTCATGTCACTGAAAACCTTCTGTACCTTCCAAAGTCTGTCGTGTCTGTCATCATTTGCATTATTTTCAAAATGCAGGCACCTGACAGGCAACAGGAACCTATGACGCGACATATACCTGTTGAACACTGGTGATGGAACAAGGCTGTTTTTGTCCCCAATAATCCTGGATGACGTGTTTCTCAGAGTGCTTCATCATCATGTTCAGTGCGAGAAACACGTACATTTCGTCAGTTGTGGTATCCTTCCATTGTGTCAGGCGAGAGGCAGGTAAAATGCCAGCGTCCATGAGGTTCTGAGCATATCTGTATGTCTCGGTCACAAGATGGGTCATGAATTCGATATCAAAATATGCCAGGAAATAGTCTATTTCTGCCATATCCTCACCTGTATATGGGAATAATGGTGTCACACCAACATCGGTACCATCAAACGTTGGTATTTGTGGAACAAATGTGGCACAATCTTCCCACACAAGCACACCTGCACACCTGGGGGTTTGGTTTTGGCGCCAACACCACCATGAGCACGAAAAACACGGCTATGTCGTCTGTTGCTGAAGCTGCGTGTGGGTATGGTAGGAGATGAGGCTAATCTGCGTATCGTAGGCCTACCACGAACTCCTGATGAAGAGGGGCTACTGTCGTCATTGTCCTGTATCTGCTCGACACACTGCCTCTAGTCGCAACGTGTTGCTGAGGCAGCAAAATCCCGCCTGGTAACACCCTCGCTGCTCTTGCTCGGGTCGTCCAGACTACTTGTATCGGAGCCTGTCACTGAAGCCCAAGAAAGATTCATTACAAGTACAGTAGTATCACTGAATAAACTTTGCGCCAGGGGACACACATAGTGGTGGTGATGATAACGGAGTTGACCCAAGGCGGCGAGGCAGGCCAGGTGAGGCGTGTGTACCATACATGCTCGCGACATCATCCACCTCAGTTTCTCCCTCACTCATATCAGACCTCTGTGTAAGGTCTTTCTCAGGATCATAGTCAAAGTCATAATCCATAGCACCGTCATCATACAAAATGTTGAGTACCCTGTATTTCCTCCTCAGAGAGTCGTTTTCCATGACCGCGGGTGATCGTGGAGCGGGAGCTCGTAGACGATACGTCAGACATGGTTGCTGCTTTGAAACTGAGGCTCCCTACAGCCACGGGGCATGCTGGGATTTTTTTCAAGATGGCGGACGATCACTGAGGCCGCCAGGCATCCATTTTGTACCCACCGGGCTGTGGTGGGTATGTGGGCCTGCGGGCCGCTCCAAGCAACAGCCTGGTGGACCAAACTCTCACAAGTCAAGTCTGGCCTCGGGCCAGGCTTGGGGGAGTAGAAGAACTCCCAGAACCCCCATCAACCAGGTATCAACCATGTCAACGCGCGCCAGTTTTTAATGGAACGCTAAAAATTTAAATACCCAGAGGCATGTTGCGCACCCCCGTCGAGCGCCTGCAGACGCCTTGCGCAGTTCAGTGGTTAATTGCATAAACAAGCCTTGAACCTGTCAAACAACTATGCAAATGATTCTCACAGAACAAGTGATTTGCTCAAACTGTATCAAAACGTGTTAGTACCTATCACCACAACTACCAGGTGTTCTGCCCCTAGTCTGCAGCCGACTTCTTTGATCAGCCTGTTTTGTTGCTGATGTTAAAGATGCCCCTTTCTAGGTTGCTTCTGATTGGCTTCCTTCTTACCCATGTTAATAGAGTTTACTTGGGTTCGAGAGTGATAGGGTTCACCTTTTTGGAGTGCTGGATTATCTGGTGGCACAAGAGGAAATGAGCGAGGTGGTGTTTCTGCTGTTCTTAGCTTTGGTTGGTGATTGGTTGTTACCAAGCATTTATCTAGTGTTCAGGTTTCATGACTTCCTTGCATCTTTTATGGTACTTTTTCCTCAGTTTTAGGTTGATGTTTGATTCTCACATGTTTCCATGCCTGTGTTAGAGGACAAAGATGCTGGTCATTGTCTTGTAATCAAAATTATTATGGGTGTCTGTTAAGTAAGGTTTAGGCCTGGAGTGCCAGTGTTTATGCTCTTGGGAGCCACCCAGAAAGTGGCATTTCTTTATACATAATGCACTGTTTTTTGTTATTTACAGAACCAAGTCAGGGGAGGAAATCTAGCCAGAATCAGAACCAGCCACTTTCACAAAGGCCCTTGTCATTTGTTAAAGCATCAGAAAGTGGAGGAACTACAAGTCAATCTGAACAGGTTCAATTTGATGTAAATGAACAACAGAAGAGGAAACATGACCAGTATTCGAACCAAACATTTGAGAAAAGATCCTCGTTATTTAATGCGTCAGGAAGTGAAGAAACTATAAGACATTCTCCACAGTTTCAGTTTGGTGCAAATGAAAGGCAATCAGCTGTAAATAAATATAAAAAAGCTGTTATTCCGAACATCAGACAGAGCAAAACTTCGTCCATTTCTAATACTTCTGTTAATCAACGTGGCCGAGGCATTGGGCCTATGAATGGTCGATCATTGAGAGGAAGGGGCACTTCTGGCTCTAATTTAGATGCCTTAGAACAACGTAAAAAGTAAGTATGTACTGTAATGTGAAAGGAAAGTTTAGTTATCCTTAATGAATTTTCCTTTGTCACCATATCTAATTTCCCATGAGTTAAGAGTTAATGTACAGTATATTATGTCTTCTCCTTCTGTGTAATCTCATCCTACATGCACCAGAAAGATTTGTCTATGCTACTTGAAAATATTATCATTAAAACTGTAGATACCTAACTGTTTGATGTGCCACACACTTCTTTCACTTGCACACATGCACACCAATTTTTGCCTTATACAAAATGTCCTGCACTACATATGAAATAGTTTTATTGTCAGAATTCTAAGCACCAATACTGTCATTCCCTATCTTGTTCACCGTAAATAGAATTTTCTTGGAAAGCCCCGAGTAGTTCCACGAGTGTGTAACCTGGGAGCAACTAAGTCTTGTGGGAACATGCTAGGCCTCTCAGACCCACGGGCACCTACTGAGTAGTTCCACGGGAGTGTAATCTGGGAGCAACTAAGTCTTGTGGGAACATGCCAGGCGTCTCAGACCCACGGGCACCTACTGAGTAGTTCCACGGGAGTGTAATCTGGGAGCAACTAAGTCTTGTGGGAACATGCCAGGCGTCTCAGACCCATGGGCACCTACTGAATAGTTCCACGGGAGTGTAATCTGGGAGCAACTAAGTCTTGTGGGAACATGCCAGGCCTCTCAGACCCACGGGCACCTACTGAGTAGTTCCACGGGAGTGTAATCTGGGAGCAACTAAGTCTTGTGGGAACATGCTAGGCCTCTCAGACCCACGGGCACCTACTGAGTAGTTCCACGGGAGTGTAATCTGGGAGCAACTAAGTCTTGTGGGAACATGCCAGGCGTCTCAGACCCACGGGCACCTACTGAGTAGTTCCACGGGAGTGTAATCTGGGAGCAACTAAGTCTTGTGGGAACATGCCAGGCGTCTCAGACCCATGGGCACCTACTGAGTAGTTCCACGGGAGTGTAATCTGGGAGCAACTAAGTCTTGTGGGAACATGCTAGGCCTCTCAGACCCACGGGCACCTACTGAGTAGTTCCACGGGAGTGTAATCTGGGAGCAACTAAGTCTTGTGGGAACATGCCAGGCGTCTCAGACCCATGGGCACCTACTGAGTAGTTCCACGGGAGTGTAATCTGGGAGCAACTAAGTCTTGTGGGAACATGCCAGGCCTCTCAGACCCACGGGCACCTACTGAGTAGTTCCACGGGAGTGTAATCTGGGAGCAACTAAGTCTTGTGGGAACATGCTAGGCCTCTCAGACCCACGGGCACCTACTGAGTAGTTCCACGGGAGTGTAATCTGGGAGCAACTAAGTCTTGTGGGAACATGCCAGGCCTCTCAGACCCACGGGCACCTACTGAGTAGTTCCACGGGAGTGTAATCTGGGAGCAACTAAGTCTTGTGGGAACATGCCAGGCGTCTCAGACCCATGGGCACCTACTGAGTAGTTCCACGGGAGTGTAATCTGGGAGCAACTAATTCTTGTGGGAACATGCCAGGCGTCTCAGACCCACGGGCACCTACTGAGTAGTTCCACGGGAGTGTAATCTGGGAGCAACTAAGTCTTGTGGGAACATGCCAGGCGTCTCAGACCCACGGGCACCTACTGAGTAGTTCCACGGGAGTGTAATCTGGGAGCAACTAAGTCTTGTGGGAACATGCCAGGCGTCTCAGACCCACGGGCACCTACTGAGTAGTTCCACGGGAGTGTAATCTGGGAGCAACTAAGTCTTGTGGGAATATGCCAGGCCTCTCAGACCCACGGACACCTACTGAGTAGTTCCACGGGAGTGTAATCTGGGAGCAACTAAGTCTTGTGGGAACATGCCAGGCCTCTCAGACCCACGGGCACCTACTGAGTAGTTCCACGGGAGTGTAATCTGGGAGCAACTAAGTTTTGTGGGAACATGCCAGGCCTCTCAGACCCACGGGCACCTACTGACAATCATGACCAGAATCTGACTGGCTCAAAGAGGCGAAGGTGAGTCTTGAGATTAGAGATCACCCTAGAATGGGTCGGGTGACTAAATGGGGTAAAAAAGACAATTTTGTGGGTATTGAAGGCTTAACAAAATTAAAGTGTAAAATTGTTCATACTATTTTACATTAAGTGAGTTGTGAAAATTTTAGAAATTATCAGTAATATTTTTTCCATTAAAACTATTGAACTTATAGCAAACATCTTATATAAGATTTTCATATATTTTCTTCAGATATAAAACAAAAAAAAAAGGTAAAAACCATAACTTTTGCAACTCGAGCGAATACCTTGTTCTAATCATAAGTTAAGTTTCACTGTGGCAACATTTTTCATGCATTTGACAGGTCTTATTGCTTCTGGGGGAGAGCCCCTTGTGGATCCCTGAAGCCATTTCACTGAAATGGCTTCCAGCTACTATGTCACATCAGCCGTCTAATTGTATTTGACCAGGTACTAGCTGGATCTATCATTAGCTGGGTACCAGAGCCAGAATCTGGCTTCCCCTCTCAGAGGCACAGGGAGCCGGTGACACACTGCCATCTCACTGGGAAAGCATCCAGAAAGTAAGCAAACCATTACACACTACTGCTGGATTCAAAGAGTTCAAGGAGACCAAGGCCTCAACACTGTCAAATGAACTCCCCAAGAATGTAAACAAACTACTGAATATAATTGTTTGAAACATGTGTGATCTCATTAGCGCTACCACCCTCACCAGTTAGAAAGAAGCCCAGAGTTCCTAGATCCTTCCAGTCTTGCAAAACGGTTTATGTCGGTGATGTAGACAACTGTGAACATCTGTTGTTGGGCTCCTGAGTCATCAGTAAGCTGTGCAGGATCTTGCTGCTTCTAAATGTCGGCCAGTCATGGGCTGCCCTTCAGGGGCAGCCCATGACTGCCTGTAATTTGTAATACCAAGCAAACAGCACCCCCCCGGTGCTGTTTGCTTGGTATTGTTTGTTGTTTTAGTTCTGCTTCATGAATGTTTTCTGTCCAGTTTGTGTTGTGTGGACCTGGTTCATAGGGCACTTGGAGCTGCATGTGTTCAGGGTGTGGCCTTCCCTCAGGGTGGCCTTCCCTGAGTGCTCCCTAGTGCTACCACTGCATGAAAAAAAAAGAAAAAAAAAAAAAAGAGTTCTCTTCTCTAGTGTGTTTGGGAGATCTCTCTCTCTTAGAGGCAAGACCATTGGAGTGAAAGCGTTGTCTTTAGGTAAGTCAGGTGTTTTTTCTTTCCCCGTGTCTAGTTCCCTGGTTGCTAGCAAGCATTTTGGCTGGTTGGGGAGGATTGGTGGTTAACACGCTTGTTTACATAGCATGCCAAGGTTGGTCCTCGCAGCTGCATTTACTAGGCTGTGTTGGTCTACCTTATAATGTTCGGTGAGTGTCCCTTTATCGGGTTTGGGTTTGTCAGGTAGTGACTGCTTTGTGTGTTTGGGTTGAACAGTCTGGGTCGAGTGCCCGGTTGGATGCCAGAGCTACACTGTTGGTGGTTAGGGACCTGGAATTGGGGGGTGTTGGTAACTTCTTCCTAGCTTTTGTCTACACCTATTCTGCCTTCCCCCTTTTTCCGGCCTGGAGGTGTCTGAGGGTTTCTGGGTTGGGGTGGGGTTTAACTTGGTATATGGCTTGGGTGGCTCCAGGGGTTGCCCCTTCAAATTTGGGTGTGGAGGCAGTTGAGCCTACTTGGCCTGCTGGGAATTCTGGGGCCTTTCTTTCTGCCAGTCCTTTCTTCCCTTAAAACCTTTCCCTTGGATGCCTCTTTTTCTATCCTGGGTGGTGGATGCTGATGCCAGCTATAACCTGGGGCCCCTTGACAACAGCTTTTGGGGCTTGGGGGGGGGGGGGTTGCTGGGTATGGGCTCCTGGGTCCCATTCGACTCTTCATGGATCCTTGTACTTCTGTACCATCTGTTGGGGGTTTCCTTTGCATGGGGAGGGGGTTTTCATATCTCCCCTCCTTGTGTGCATACGAGTTGGGTACAGCTACCCCCAGGGTTCATTTCTACATGTCTTTTGGCCTGTTGTGATAGTCCTTCAGGAGGTTTCCTGCCTATTGGGTCCTACAGTATCTCGTAAGGAACATTAGTCATGCCTTCTGCATGACTCGGCTTGTTCCTTGTTATTGGATCCTGCCTCTTTTACATTCTGGTCTTCTCCTTATGGGATGTGTTATGGGATTTTAACTGTGGGGGTTTTCTATTTTGCTTTTCCGACTGCAATGCGTACGTCGCCAATGTACATGTGGCAGACGCTTCACGAAGCTGTCGGAATCAGCAGAGAAAATACGAGAGCAACTGTACAGGGCCTGGGAGCAAGGTTGAGTTTGAGTCCTTGAGTCTCTTCTTAGACTAGCCTCACCTGGTCCTGGTCCACGTTGATCGTGGGAATCTCCTCAATGATTTCATACTTTAAGGGACTCCTAGGGTCCCATTTATCACATTTATAGGGTCCCATCACATTTATAGTTTAGTGAATTAGGCAACTGGGTGTTGAAGACACCTGGAGCTGAAGGCTTGAGTAAATAGTTGGCAGTATTCAGAAGTGGTTCAACAGAAACACAGCATAAAGCTTAACAGTAGTTTATTTACTATCTTAACCACTAATAAAAGGGTGCTTGATTTACTTTAGATTGGCGTCAGAAAGGCTATGGTTGTATTAGCGAGACTCTTGACGTCTTGCTAATTGATTCGGATCCACTTGTGGCGAAATACCTAACTTAACATAGTTGACAGCCAATCATTAACACGGCAAACCTAACTGCCGGTATGCAGAGGAATCACAAGAGTTCCGACCGGATACTCGGTAATGATGATATGCAATAAATCACAAATACAGTCAATGGGATAGGCAATAACATGCACAATAATAATATCACACAATAACTAAATGTGTGGTGTATGTGAAGCTCGCATTCACAGACAAGTGTAATGTCGTGATACCACACAGATAAACACGCATACACAGTCAGGTGTCTTCACCAATACCTGTGACAGGTATGAGAAGGTGAGAA